TTTTTTGTACGAGCATTTGCCTTTGCTCTTGGAGGATGTCAACCTGCAAACTCGGATGCATATGTACTTCCAACATGACGGCGCACCTGCGTCGTGTGCGCAACTATTTGGACACCTGAAGTAACAATCGTTGTATCGGTCATTATGGGCATATATCTTGACCTCCTGGATCACCAGATATAACACCGTTGGACTTCTTTCTATGGGGCTACGTTAAGTAAGAGGTTTATAGATATCCACCATCTACCCCGGAAAATATGAAGGAAAGGATTAAGGATACTTTTCTGAACATAAGGGAACACATGCTGAGGGATGTGCAACGGTCATTTATCGAAAGACTATGGATGTGTATTCAACATGGTGGAGATATTTACGAGCAGCTTTTGTAGATTAGGTCTTGAGTAGTGATAGTTGTTTGTTTATGTTGTTTTTCTCTATTGCTCTTGAAGCTGATTTATACTCTTCTGATTGTTATTAGTTTTCACGTCAAATGTGTACTCTTAGTGGCAATATGGAACTAGCCCACTATTTGTCTTTTGTTTCCATGGATGATGTGATTTTTTTCCTTAATTTTGGTGTGTTGTTCTATTAAAAGCTTAATAACTCAAAATCAAGTGATTTTATCTGAATCAAACCATCTACCAAAAAAAAGCTAATAAGAAATTGAATCCAAACTTACACAAATATACAGGGTGATGCATTTGAAATTTTTGAGAAAAAGTACAATTCGCGTTTTTGACCACCCTGTATGAGCAAAAATTAAAATTCGAAAAAGTAACAAATAAGATAAAGGCTTAGATATGTAAGTTTTTTTGATACAAAACTCAGCACTTCAAATTTCAAAATTGAAAGGTTGCCGAAGTGGACGTTTTTTCTGGACAAAACACCTTACATCTAAGTAGCTAATTACCAAAACCCCGTATATCAATCTTCTTCTTTTAAATTGGTTTATCCAAATATGCACTAAGATTTTATATGTAGGTCAAAATTGGGACACACTGTATAATTGCCAATATTTTATAAATGCGCCCTCAAATGTCATTTATAACATGTCATGAATAGATTTTCCCAAAATGTATTTGTTTATGAATAATATTCCATCCACACATGGATAGGCCACCCTATATATTATATATACAGGGTGTCCGCAAAGTTGGGGTTTTCCTCTACACGACGTGTAGATCTTGAAAACATAAGCAACTTTTCTTAGTACCATATACACCAGTGTCTTAAGGGAACCGAAATAAAGGGCTCTGCAACATCAAAAATATCTGAGTACCGTCCTGTAGCCGCGACTCGCGATATCCCCAACTGGTACCGGCTACTAGCTCAACCCGACGACAGAACTGGGTCGGGGGTCGGGGTCAGTGTGTCAGGTCAGTATGCAACCTTCAACCGACAGTTACGGTCACGCGTGTAGAGGTAAATGAACTCGTATAATCGATTGCGTTTCAAAAAACAACAAGCACTAGAGACGTGGCTAGAGAAGTGCAAGTATCAAAAACTAAAGTGTGACAAACGCTGCATGAAGAGGGGCTGTATCCGTTTCCCGTCCAACGTGTACAAGCCCTTTAACCTGACGATTTTCCAGCAAGAGTGCGGTTTTGTGAGTGGTTGTTGCATCAACATGACAATAATCCAGACTTTTTGAAGTGCATATTGGTGACAGACGAATCTACGTTCACGCGTAATGGGGTGAATAACTTTCGCAACACTCATGTTTGGTCAGTAGAAAATCCGCACGCTGTCCGTCGGGCACATTTTCAACAAACATTTTCGGTGAATGTTTGGGCTGGCATGGTGAACGGTAGGCTCATTGGACCATTTATTCTCCCAAATCGATTGGACGGGATGCAATACCTAGACTGTCTACGTCTGCTCGGTAACGCATCAGCTGATTTCATTTTCTGTTGGAGCGGTATGATTTCGGGCAGAGACGTACTTAGCCCTTCTCGTCAACTGGAGAGTTGGTACTTTTTCCTTTATTTTTTTTTACTTGCGCGCCCTCGTTTCACTACACATTACCTTTGTTGTTTCTGAAAAGTAAAACCCCAACTTTGCGGACACCCTGTATATATATATACATATATATATAATATATATATATATAATAATATAATTAATTAATTAATTGTTAATTGGGAAATTGGCAAATTTCTAGGCTTAAGTTGACTCTTTTGACGATAAAATCAAGCTTTCGGCGTTCTCTATAGAGCCTTCATCAGGATCAACATCTTCACAAAATTAGAATACATTTTCTTACTCACATTTCTTAATTTAAACTCACATAACCCATATTGTCAAGGTTGTATCAATATCACTTATTCTTACACTCATATGAACTACACACTTTTTTCCAAAACAAATTAATTCAGCATTTTAGTAATTTTGGGTGGAGGTTTATCGAGCGTCCCTCGTATACTTCATACCCAAATTCGGACAAGGAGGTTTGCAGTTCCACGGTCCGTCGCGTCAATCATTTGTCATCTGTCGACGCTTTATCTTTCCGTGCCGTCCTCCTCTCCACGTGTAGCGTAGGAGGTTAGAGACTGCATTCCGATTGTTTCACTGAAATGTCTTCTCACGCGTAATACTTTTTAATTTGTTCAGGTGGATTGATATTTTTAACATGTAACGAAGGTATCTGTCGTTTTCAACAAGCCCAATGTCCCCGTCCTTTTGTTTTTATACTGATTACAAGTTCTATCTTCTCTACGTTCGTTTTGAAACACCTTGTGGCTGCAACCTCACCGACGAGTAAGTTTGTCTGACAATTTAAATCTGTCCTGTTTTCTTTGCTAGCATCAAAATTGTGTTTTCAGAATCCTGATGAAGGCTCCATAGAGAATGCCGAAAGCTTGATTTTATCGTCAAAAGAGTCAACTTAGGCCTAAAAATTTGCCAATTTCCCAATTAACATGATCATTTTCTCTTTGTAGATCCTTTGGGCTTGAAGTACCACAGCTGTGGCTATAACCGGCCGCGTGGTTGTGGTTAGATGTCGCCTTGAAATTCCGAGGTCTTCTAGCAATGTTATACTACAATGTGTAGGTTGACTCTTGATGTGGACTTCGTGTCTCATTTTCACCCTCTCCATCTTTGTTTCGTCAGGTTACACCCGCATCCGGATGTATGGGCATGTGTTTCTACTTTTGTAGTTGCATAATATGCACATATTATGTGCAGTCATTTCGGGCCTGATGAAGCTAACCAGCAGAAATATGTATCGCTCGGGTTACGTATCCTACTCGCATTTTCTGCTCGAGTCCACTTTCCTGCTTTTTGCGGATTTTGCCCATTATTTTCCTATTTTTTGTTATATATCTTTCTCCGCATGATCTTTTTCTCTCTCTCTATATATATATACATATATATGAAACAGAATGTTTGTATCTTTTTATTTTTTTTTTCATTGTAATTAAATTAAATTAAAATTACTATACACTTCACAGGTGGCCAAATATGGCAGTGCAGCCCATCCATTCCATCCTGTGATCGATAATCAATCTTCTTTGGTCTATTCTCCTTCTCCAACGACTGTAGTCTATGTTTTGTGGTCACTTGTTATGTTATTTGTGGAAAATGGAATCTTGGAAGAACAAATTTCCGTATAAAAAGTGATCCATCCAAGATTTTTTTGTGCAGAATTACATATTACGCTGTCGTGTAAATCTGCACTAACCCCCAAATACGTGGTTATGTTGAGTGTACCATGTACCATCACCGATGGTGTGACTGATTATACACTGAAATCAAAACAAAAAACTGCAACTGCAATTTTATGTATGAATGTTGAAAATATTTAACAGTTTCGGACCAGTGGTGTTAAAATGTCGTTGAGTAACAGGAAAGAAGTGTATGAATGTGTTGAAACTCAACACCTAACAAAAATATGAGAGAAAAGGCTTCTTCATATAAGGGTTTGGAAGTGCAAGTTTGCAAATATAGGATAAACTATAAACACATGGTAGGTGATGTTAAGTTAGTATAATCACATATGGATTTCAAAAGTTGCAACAAGCATGGAAAAATCTTCAGCGAAACTGAAAAAAATGGATTTTACTCAGACATCAAGCTTTTTTTAGAAATGTTGGCTCAATTTTATATTATTTCATAATATTTAATAAACTGATAACATTTCAATGACAAGCTGTCACTTCAAATCTTACAGTGTTTTGTTTTGAAAACCTTGATGCTATTTGCTGCCAAAAATCTGACGGAGAGATCTTGATGCTGATTGGTTATATTTGACGGTCTGTTCGTCGTACCCTATTGGTGGAAAATAATGGTTTGTTAAATTGTGAAATCCACCCTTAATGTTACAATCACTCTATTTACAACTATCTATGAGAGGAGAGTTATGAAAATGTAGTAAAATACACCACATGATCCAGCAGCCATTCCTCGAGCTTCTTGCCCTACAGCTGGACCCATTAACAACATTATAGATTTACCTACACCCAACGTTATTAATGAGTTAACAAAGATTTTAAACAATCATCCTACTACCAAAATTGCAACTTATATTTTAATGGTACCATAAATAATTAAGTTGGTACTATTTTGTGATTAAATAAATTACCGGTTTTTTATTATGTATGCATGTATAATAGGTAGTATATTTTATGAGTTATGTGTAAGCAAAATATTCTGTTACTCATGAAACAGTCTTGTCAAATATGACAAAAATCGAAAAAGCTCAATGCATAGTAATATTTCTTTAACAAAAAATATTCGTGCAGGTGCAAAAATCCTCGTCTTCGATTTTTCTTGCCACTCATGCTTCTTCTTCTAATATTCACTTAGCAACCTGTTTTTTGATTTTTTTCGGAAAAATTAGATGCCCTTTTGATACTACTTACATATGGTAATTAACGGACTCAAGAATGGTAAAAACGCAAACAGTTTTATTACATTTTACTAAGTGTTGGACCTGCAAGTTTGTTGATGGATGTTGTACTTGTCTCTTTGTATCGTATAATAAATAAATCTATTAACACTCGAGTCGTTATGTCTTTATTTTAACATTAAGTAAAATACATCGTAAAAGAAAACAAATTATAATGTAAGCTGGTATATGCAGTCTTTTTTTGATTAAACAACTTTCATGCAATGAAAGCACGTGCCCAATAAATACTTAAACATCTATTTGACATAATTCCTACGCATAACGAAAGATACAGTAAACATATTTTTATCTAATTCATATTTTTTAATTTTCTCTGTATTTTTCTTAATTTGTGAATCCGTCGCAGAACTAAAAACCCTTTTGACCAAACCAAACGTATAGTTCTGTGGAAATCACACGAAATTTTCGATACATTCATGGTATATTTCTCTTGAAAAACTTCTTTGATCCGTATCCTTCCTGAACTTTTAAGATACGTAATAAATACCCCTGGGGGTGTTTTTAATAGATGCCCATTATTTCACAAATACTACTCAAAATACACTATAGAGGGTATTCAATATTGAGTCATTTATTTTAACTGCATGTAGGACTCGTCAAAAGCAGTTATTATATACCTATATAAAAGTTGCATGATAAAAGAAATAGTCAAAGATTAAAAATAAAAAAATAATATTATTACAGAGATTTTTTGATATTCTTGATCACTGCCGTGTAAAATCTTACCTTTTTTGTTTAATACTCTTATCGTTTATCTAAATTTGGCCAACTGTTTGCGTTATAGTATGGTTTTCAGTACGAGTCTTTGGTTCGATCAGTTGTATCAGTCTTTTAATAGTGCATATACCTTCATTTGTCTGATTTATTTTGTGCGAAAAAATGGCCCATGCTTACGCAAATAATCAACTAGTGGAAGAGATCACGCTGGAAGACCTGCTCAACCTGAAATGTTACAAATTGAGGAAGACATTTTAGAAATGGTCGAAGGCGACCCGATAATGAGTACTAGAGCCATAGCAGCTCAAGTTGGATTTTCTCATAGTAAAGTGTGAAGACAATACGACAAGAACAATACTGTTCTTATGATTATCAACGGGTGCAACCGTTACAACCTGAAGATACTACTAGAACAGTTTCATTTTGCCAGTGGCTTTTAGAATAGAAATGACGATTTTGCGAAATTAATTTTTAGTACAGACGAGGCCACATTTACACAAAATGGAGTGCACAATTTCCACAAAAATCATGTTTGGGCAGTAGAAAATCCGCATGCTGTAAAAAAACATAGATTTTCATTGAATGTTTGGGCAGGCGTGGTACATGGCATGGACACTTTTCTACTTTTTTCCACCTCCTTCTGACCGGTGAAATTTATTTAGATTTTCTTCGAAACAATCTGCCGCTATTATTAGAAGACATTCCATCATATTTTAGACGAGAAGTTCATGAACATCTAAATAATGAGTTTCCGAATAGATGGATAGGGCGCAATGGACCCATTTCTTGGCCTGCTCGCTCTCCGGATTTAAAGCCTTGCGATTTTTTACTGTAGGGCTATTTGAAAGAGTTGGGGTATCATGATAGAGCAGTAAAGACTCTAGTAGAACTTCAACAGCGCACTGAAAATGCTTGTGATTTAATTCGTAGACACCAGGATTTTATTTTCGAAGCTTGCAAAGAGTTGTTGTTTCGCCGAGCGTTAATCGTGCGAATGGGCACAAAACTGTTGAAGTTTTTTTAAAAACTGTTATCATTTTAACTTGATAATGATTTTTTTTAAATATTTTTTAATAATGTAAACTAGCTCTCTTATTATGCAACTTTTATATAGCTGATTTTTGGTAATTCTTTAAACGAGTTCTACTCGTTGTTAAAGTAAATGACTTTGAAAATACCTTGTATATACACAAACAGTTTTTATTGTCAAACCTCACCAACCTCAGTGTATTTTCAAACTAGAACGGGTGGTTATTTATACAGAAATATTGAAACCATTTCTCTTCAAAAGTAGTAATCTGACAAAAATTTCTCAAAAGAAGCGACTGATATATAAGTGTATGCCTTTTTTGTTTGGTTGTAGATTTATTTAGCATTAATGCTATAATATCAATCTTACACAGTTTATCACATAATATATTATGTCTTCAAGTCTAGGTACATATGTTTATACAAAATTTCACTACTACGATTTCTGATTTTCAAACTGGCACACATCTTGATATTATCATCTCTTAATTTATTAGATTCAGACAATCCTTTTTGAAATACTGATTTGTTTGTTATACTGCTACTACCATTTTGTAAGTGTAAATCTATACTCTCTCTAGTAGAATAACTATGGTACTCATTGTTTAATTCAATAAAATTTCGTAGAAGATGATTTTTTAACTTGAATATGAAAATGAAAGCCAAGTGGGTTATGAAAATTTTGATATTTAACCATTGTAGTTCTTTCAGCATAACATTTATTTTAGTGTATTTATGTTTATTTAAGATGCTTCTCATAGCTTTATTTTGTGGTATTTGTAATTTTGAAAATACTGTTTCGTTTACAGTGTACAAAATAGTCGATCGATATAAAAAATGATCAAGAACTGTGTGTTCAGTACACAATTTTTTTATAATAAGGCTCAGGCTATACGAAATTCTATAAAAATAATTTATCTTTTATATATATTCATCTAAAGATTTTCCTATAAGCATACATGTTGTTTTGTTTGCGTTTAATTTGAGTGTATTCACATTCAACCAATTAATTATGTTTTTTGTATCATTATTTAACAGCTCTATTGCAGTTTCAATGTCTTTATTTGATATATATATATATTAACGTATCATCAGCACGTATTTGAATTTTGTAGTGTTTTCAAACACCAGGAATATCGTGAATATATAAAACAAATAGTAATGGATCTAATTTGCTGTCTTGTGGGACACCTACCGAAATGTTTTTAATGCTTGATAGTTTTAGCTCTTTGACTTCTATTGATTAAATAATATATGTAATATGTTGAATACTGAACCTTTAAATCCATAGTAATGCAATTTCGTTAGCAATTTATCCCTGTCAATAGTCTCAAATGCCCTCTTGAAATCCAAGAACAATGTTACTGTGAACATTTTTTCATCCATATTTAGCCTCCATTCTTCTACTGCCACTTGAACTGCTGTTTCAATAGAGTATTTTTTCTGAATCTTGTTTGAAATTTTGTTAACATGTTTTCTTCAATATAATCAATGATTTGTTCATATATGATTTCTTCTAAGAGCATAGGTGCATGCTTGCATATAACTCAGCATTTTGCACTTTTTGGAGCAGGAATAATCGTTGAACATTTTAATGTCAAAGACAATTCGCCATACACTAAACAGTCATTCACTAACAATAATAAGCTCTCTCCAACAATGTTGAAACGTTCTTTTAGAAAAAAATTTGCTGCGATATGGTGACGGTAGCGATACCACTTCTTGAGGATTGATGCGTGTGAGTACATGTATGTTCTACAGTGTTTCGTCGAAAGTGCAGATTCAACTTACTTGATATCTTTTTTTAAATAAGGGATGATGATTTCCAAACATTCCATGCCGATGTTATATATTTAAAATACTTGTGTAATGTTAGTAATAATTTAAAATAATGAAATATCAACCTTTTAATAAAAGTTGCCGGATTCTTTTAATACATGTCCGAACGAATTTTATATCACTAAATTTTTACATTAACGACGTTTATACCGCTCTATCGTACGCTTAGATGAACAATTTCTAGATTGGAGGTCTAATTTCAAGTAGGATACGGATCAGTTGATTATACCAAACCTTAAAAATGATGATAATGCCTGTTCGTACTATTCTTGTAATATTCGTCAAACCTAGTTTGGACCTTTGATATATAATTCGAGATACCTACAGTAACATTTCTTACGATTTGAAGCCCTAGTCTGGCCTTAAGATGTATAAGATCTTTCATCAAATCGAAAAACTCCGAAATTGGTGATTCAGTGCTGTTGGAAACTTCTGTTGAGGTGGGAATTGTAGATGTGATAGATCCCATCTTCTCTGTTGACGTGTTGATGGATTCATCTGTTGTGCGTGACGGTTCTGTGGTAGTTATGATGGTGTTTTCTTCTGGAAGCTCTCCATCGAGTTCGTTTGTCATGCTGCTCCTTGCTCTACGGATCTGCAAAAAGAAAGGGCAAAGTTTTAAAATTAATTTATTGAAGCAAAAATACACGATACAGGCGCATTTCATTTTAAAAAATTATATTCTCGAGATGGTTTCCATTTCGGTCGAAACACTTTATATATATATATGTATAACTTGAGACGTGGTCATTGTCGTCTAGACCAGTTAGGTGAAAAATTAAAGCTTCCGCCTTTTGTTGGGTACTTCGACAAAATTTAAGCAAAGAGGACTCTTTATACTTTTTTAATTCTCTCTAGCTTTCAATGGACTTTGCCATCATCATCAGGAGCTGCAATTACAATGATAACAGTAGCAACAATAGTGTAAAATGAATTTAAATTGACTCAACTTACAGTAGTATGTGAGGATGTTGCTAATTGTTGTTTTTCGTATAGGATGAGGGAAACGTCCAGTAACATGGTGAGAGCTGGATAGATGGTACAATGGTCAAAATTATATACAATATGACAAGAACAAGTTAAAAACAGATTAAAAATTATTTAAAAACATTAAAGCATTACATCGTGAAGCCACTTGATGATTGCACAAAATGGTGGTCATGGAATAATGAGTGAGATGAACCCTTTGACAGAAGGCCGAAGGTTGTCAATGTCTGTGTAGAAAGATGGAACGAATTGTGGGCGTGTGCCAACGTTGCCAAATCACTTCAGATGATGTGATTTTCAGAATGTTATGTAAGAAATTGTTAAACCGACCAGAGGCAGTTGAATAAACTATATTTTAATTAATGGGAAATTAAATTAACAATTATTATCAAAACGTGAGAATAGAATTATTAGAATATGAGTGGAATGAAATTTACTGGTGGAATCGACCAAGATACAGATTCTATTTATGGTTGTGAAGAGTCAAAATTTGGGGAGATATGCAAGTTCTCCAATTTTTCGCAGTTTAGCAAATATGAGTAAATGACACTCAGTTGTTTAACATCTGTCTTTTTGTTGATACAGTTGTTATTCATGAAAATGTGGGACATTTCCAGGAATAAACGTTTGGAAAGGTGTTTTTCTTTATTAAGAACTTTGATTTCTATGAAAATTACTCAAGTATCAAAGTTCTTGATAAAGAAAAACACCTTTCCAAACGTTTATTCCTGGAAATGTCCCACATTTTCATGAATAACAACTGTATCAACAAAAAGACAGATGTTAAACAACTGAGTGTCATTTACTCATATTTGCTAAACTGCGAAAAATTGGAGAACTTGCATATCTCCCCAAATTTTGACTCTTCACAACCATAAATAGAATCTGTATCTTGGTCGATTCCACCAGTAAATTTCATTCCACTCAAATTCTAATAATTCTCTTCTCACGTTTTGATAATAATTGTTAATTTAATTTCCCATTAATTAAAATATAGTTTATTCAACTGCCTCTGGTCGGTTTAACAATTTCTTACATAACATTCTGAAAATCACATCATCTGAAGTGATTTGGCAACGTTGGCACACGCCCACAATTCGTTCCATCTTTCTACACAGACATTGACAACCTTCGGCCTTCTGTCAGAGGGTTCATCTCACTCATTATTCCATGAACACTATTTTGTGCAATCATCAAGTGGCTTCACGATGTAATGCTTTAATGTTTTTAAATAATTTTTAATCTGTTTTTAACTTGTTCTTGTCATATTTTATATAATTTTGACCATTGTACCATCTATCCAGCTCTCACCATGTTACTGGACGTTTCCCTCATCCTATACGTAAACAACAATCAGCAACATCCTCACATACTACTGTAAGTTGAGTCAATTTAAATTCATTTTACACTATTGTTGCTACTGTTATCATTGTAATTGCAGCTCCTGATGATGATAGCAAAGTCCATTGAAAGCTAGAGAGAATTAAAAAAGTATAAAGTGTCCTCTTTGCTTAAATTTTGTCGAAGTACCCTATATATATATATATATATATATCGAAGCAGCCGCGCAGGCAGAAGCCCCGGAACACCGCGGCTGCTATGATGATCCCAAAGAAATTTTGGTAATACGATTTTTGAACTGCCTAAGGTTACTAGAACTGGGAAAAGCTTCCTCTTGTAGATTGTTACACAATCTCGACACCATCGGTACAAAGGAGCGGTCGTATCGGCCAGTTCTGAATGTACGAAGTTCGACACGGTTAGGATGGGACGCCAAAGTCAGGCGGGTCTGTCTGGTAGGTACATCGCGTGGCGGTATCATGAAAGAGAGCTTCGAGGAGCAAATCCCGTTGGTGTAGCTATAGAAAAGAGCTAGATCACCGACGGCCCGCCGGTGCGAGAGAGTCCCGAGACTGTCTGTTAGAGAAGAGTCATCGATCAGTAGGCCTGCCCTCCTCTGGACAGAATCGAGTATGGATAATGTAGTCGGGGCGGCAACACCCCTAACGTGTGAGCAATACTCGAGGCTAGGCCTTATCTGGGCCTTGTATAAAGTGAGAAGGTCATGCGGAGAAAAGTACTTCTTAGCCCTAAACAAATAGCCTAGCTTTTTACCAGCAGCTGCAGCTATTGACGAGATGTGTTCGTGCCAGATCAGATCCTCGGTGATCTGGACTCCGACCAGCCGAAATGAATGGCTCTTTGGCATAACTCGGCCGTCCATCGAAACTGGATGAGCGCTAGGACGCTTTTTGTTCGTCAAAGTACAGTACTGTGTTTTGGAAGCATTGAACTGTGCAAGATTGTTGCGTCCCCAAGCAGTGATAGCCTCCAGGTCTCTTGTCAGAGGAAGCTAGTCTTCTTTTTTCCAGCTCAGCGGCAGAGATCGGCTTGTCACTCTGAATTCATGCATGTAGGGAACACCCGCGTTGACGTTGTGGGATGAAGAAGAGAACCCGTCAATTACGACGGATATCTTGCGGCCAGAGATAAAGTCAGCCACCCATCTGCATAGCTTTTCTGGGAGGCCATAGGATGGAAGTTTGCTTAAGAGGGCAGCGTGCCACGGCTGATCGAACGCTGTCGTAATGTCAAGAGCAACGACATGAACCTCACCATAAGACTGGATGAGTTTACTCTACAATCGCGTGACATAGCTAGGAGGTCCCCTGAGGATCACTGGTGCCGGAACCATACCGCCTGTCGCTAATCAAGCTATGACGTTCGAGGTAGTCCAGAAGCTCGCGATTTATGCACCTCTCCATCACCTCACTTATAAAAGAAAGCAGAGCTATAGACCTGTAGTTGTAAGGGTCGATCTTAGATCCTTTTTCTGGGAACGTGCCGGATTCATAAGATATTTGGAAGAGACGCGAAAGAACTGGAACCAGCTACGCTGCACACCTCTTCAGTACAATGGCAGGAATCAAGTCCGGACCAGAGGCTTTGTTGATGTCGAGCAACTCCTGCAATGCCGTCTGCATGTGGTCAAAAACTGCTAAACATAATTCAAAATTGTTCTAATTTCAATTCTTGCAAAGTCCTAGGCCGATTAACATGAACTTTACTTTAAGGTATCCGCATACAAAAAGTCAAATGGGGTGAGATCTGGAGACGTAGCTGGCTAGTTTAGGTCTCTTTGTGTTTGACACCAGTCTAACACGTCATAAGCGCCAGCCACGTACTATATGTTATAACAACCCTGCCGGCGATGCTGAGAGACACAAGGCAGGGTTCGGCGTCGTCACATCACGTCACATCATCCCGACCGACCGCGTAGCTCGTCTATAAATATTTCACTAACTTATAGGCGCAAATGCACGGGGAAATGTTTGATGTATGAAATATACTCAGTGACATTAAAAATGTCACACCCAGGACTTTAACTTGTTTTTTGGCAACACAATGACTATATTCAAAGCAGACTGTGGCAACAATGTCAACGTTTTATCTTTGTTTTTGTTTACCTGTGTTCCTCGGAGTGTGGACCACTGTCCTCAACGATTGAACTGGAGCACTGAACGGCAACATTAGGAGGCAAAATGGCATAATGTCATCTTCAGCGACGAATCGCGATTCTGTGTAGGTACGCACTATGCTCGTAGAATGGTAAAGCGCCGCCGTTGCTGTTCAGAGGCATGTACACAGAACTATTGGAGTAATAGTTTGGGGATCTATTGCCTATGGTAGCCGATCACACCTTCACTTTCTTCAAGGTAATATGAATGCCGCGCGTTATGTTGATGATGCCGTATCTAGAGGACCGCCACACGTCCTTTTTCAGCAAGACAACGCACGTCCCCATATTGCTCGTCGTATTACGGACTTTATTCAAGAAGCAGGCTTTAATGTTTTCCAGTGCCCCCCCTTTCACCGGATGTAAATCCCATAGAACATGTATGAGATATGATGGGGACGAGACTGTCCACTTAGCACCATCCGCCACAGGATCTGCCACAGCTAATCCACGAAGTTCGAGTTGCTTGGAATGAGGTGCCACAACCAGACATCGATCATCCCATTGTGTCGATACCTAGACGTATACAGGAGTGTATTCAGCTGAGGGGTCGCCTATCATATTATTAATTTTTTTCTTATTACATGTCAATAAAATTTCGTCAGAATATTATCGTTTCATTCTTGATGTAAGACTACCTCATTGCCAACAAATCAAGTTGAAGAAATTATTTTTTCTTATATAATAACCGCATCTCTAGTAGGTCAGGCCGCAAAACTGATAAAACCTGTTAAGTTTTCACACTCTTGGTATTTCGTGGCTTGGAATGAGCGCGTTGATAGATTTAACAAGCAGAAATTATTAATACGTTACATAACCACTTGAGAGATATTTTACTTCTCACAGAGTAGCCTTCGACCACTTACGTGTCAGGATGGAACGATTGTAACAGACTCAATGATTAAGGCGGAAGTGCTTGTGAAGATCTTTGCTGCCAACTCCACCATGGACGTCCCAGCGCCCAAGTACCGTCGATTCAAAGGGTTTTCTCTACACTATGCGGGAAGTAACATTCAGGCAAAAGACCGTAAGACATCAACAAAGCTTCTGGTCCGGACTTGATTTCTGCCATTGTATTGAAGAGGTGTGCA